GTATACTTAACATCCAAATGCTGCTAATTTTCTCTTTCAGACAGTCTTATGTGGTCATCTTTCCCTGTACATCATTGAAAATGTGCTTTATATACTGTTCTTCCCTAATTCAGAACATTATGAAATGAGACAAAATAGCAATTCCAAAAACATCTTCTAGTTTACTCCATGCAGCCCATCATCTATTTATCATCAGCTAAAGTGGGATGAAAGTTTTATTATGAACCCAAAATGCAACCGTAGTTTACCCCCGAAGTTAGTAAGTCTGGGTTAGGTTTAAGAAAACCTGGTTTGAATTTTAGGTGAACCTCCTTTCTACTCTCTAATGTCAAGAGAAGATTTACAGTTTCAGGTGGATACCAAATGAAATTTGGTAAGTTCATCTGTGTTTTACTTTGAGTTTGTCATTTGAATGAACTCAAATTTCATACAGCTTAATCCTCATATTTACAGTTTTTCTGCCATTTTCACCTCAGTTGATAAAAAAATTAAACAAAAATTGAGACATGCTGTTCAGTATGTGAGCAAATTACAATATTACAGAATGCATATGCTCCTTTGTCTCAATGATAAATAATTATGGAGAAAGTGTCATATTATTGGTAAAATGTGCTTCAATGAGTCAAACCATTTTTGGAGAATATTTTTCTTTATCTACTATGACATTTACTTGCCATGAAATTCCAAACTGATCAGATAATAATTAGCAAAATTGTCTGCTTCCATCAACTTTTGAAAATCTGCATTTTGCAGATCAGTTTTATCCCTGGCTCAGTTAAACTGTGATTTTAAAATCAAATTTGTATGATTTAAGCTTTCTTCATTTTTTCATTTCATCCCCCAGAAGTCAGAAGCCCAGACTTTAAGCTAGCTAATTTTCTAAAATTATATGCTAGAGGTTTGGGCAGATTTAAGGACAGATATTTTACGTCAAAATGATAGGCTCACAGTTCCTGATTGATGATCTTGTACATATAAATGATATATGCCCATTAGACACAGGGGTCTTCTGGGATAAGTAGCTTAAGCAAAAGTGAGCTTAGAGAAGTTTCTAAATCCTAAGTTTGCAGAGACATGGGCAACATGCTTCCAGTTTCTGTTTTATTATAATGCAAAATAATCTTAAATAACTTACATATGGAGATTAGTATAACAATGAGCTCTGAAAACATTATTTTGCCTAAAACTGCCTGTTTCACTACAACAGTTAAGTAGAAGCTCTGTAGTTTCATTACACTAAATGCCTGCTTTTTAATTTAACTAAACAAAGTTATACAGGGATAAAGTTTTTTCCTTTAGAAATGTATACTATGTAAAATTCCCTTCAAACACCACTACTATCTTTTCGTAAGTTAACTATATTTTATACTATTTTAAAAATTAAAACCTGGAAACATAAAAGTCATTTTTTTCTTCGAATTTGTAGTCCCAAAACTACTGCTCATAAAAATAAACTTTACAACATCTTTGAGAATCCAAAAGAACTCCGGTCAAGACTTTTTTGGCTAGAAAAGAAAGCAGTTTTGATATTCAAAAATTTGGCTGTTCTTAGTCAATCCCCAAAAGGGAAAAATCAGCTAATCTTAGCAAGATGGTAAATTTAAGTGATTCTGTAATCTAACGTAGTCCTAAATCATGTTTTAAAATATGATCAAACAGTAGAGACTGGGAAAAGACAGAAACTTTAAAAATAACTCAAAATAGAAAAGTTGAACATTTCTTTAAGAGGCTTTTCTGTTTCTAAATTAAAGCATGAATAGCATCTGAAAAATAGCAGCAAAGTTTGTGCTGGCATATTCCACTTATTAGCAACAAAAAATTTCACTTAACCTATTCTACTACTGGATCATATAAAACAGTATGAAACATCAGATTTTTGTTGGTCAGATATTCTGGGTGTCATCCTAGAGAACAAGCCAGCTATGGACTCAGCCATACACAGGCACTAACATTCATGGAACATATGACTCTGCACACACACACACACACACACACACAAACATATATACACGAAACCTGATCAGGCTCTGCTGTGGATCCTTGATAACTCTAGCATATTGTAAGCCCTGGAAAGAATTTCAATCTACATGGTTTGAAAATAGGGGCCTTTTACATATGCTGCATACAATTTGTGATGGTCATCTCTAAAATGCGGCTCCATTATCCTTTTCCATTTTGAATGAATGAGGCTAATTAATTTCAGGCCATACTTGATGAGGTCAGCACCATACGAGGGGTGCGTGCTAGACATTGCTAATCTCTTTCAGCTGAGAGTGATGAATTAAAGATGAAGCATGCCTTTGCAGGCCTAATTTAGAATGTATATCAAAAAACCTACAGCAAATAATACTATACCCTACAACAAAGGAAAACTTGTTCTCTCAGGCTCCCTGAGTTGTGTTGATTTTAAAGACATTTTCAGTCGTCTTTGGAATTCCAGCTGTGGATGGGTGAACCATATCAAGAAAATCAAGCCATCTCTCACACATGGCCATGTGGACAAGAAGTGGGATTAAAGGAAAGAAAGAAAACAAAACCAAAATACAACGATCTGGGTTTGATCCCTTGTGTATTAAAATTCCACCTACACATTAGGCATTTTTTTCAGAGCTACCAGACTAACAAAGATCCCAAATTAGCAATACCTGTATTCAAGCAATGACCACCCAGCTCTGCTGGGACATTTCACAGCAATGTGCTAAATGAGGCAGCCTTGTTTTTAAAGCAGATATCCTAATGAGGCTTATTAGGTTTTTCCATGTCTCTATTTTGAAAGCCAATAGAGATTGACCAGGTAGATAATGTGATACCTTTTATTATGCCAAGAAAGAAATTGTAATACAGATGCCTCGAGGCCAAAATGTTCTTACGAAAGTTAATGCTAAGCCAGCTTCTGAGTTGGGAAAAGGGAGGTACTTGCTGATCTGAACTCTAAAGAGAAGAACGAATTAGTCATAATTTCTCAAAGATGACTATTACCTATTACAAGTCCCTAAGGGTGGCAAGGAAGGTGGTTTTGCCCAGAGACTGGGGAACATAGCTTGCAAAAAATGTTTTCAGCCTATCTAGCAAAAAAAAAAAACCCTGACAGGTTATTCTAATGCATTGGAATTTCCAACTAACTGGTGGTACAACGGCTCCTGACTTTGTATCCCAGTAGCCCTCATTAGAACAAAGCTGCTTCGAATTAGGTCCAATCTGCATGCTGAATCAATCTTTCATCCCTTTGATTGCTTCTGAAAATATTTATATTTCTTAATAATGCACATTTTGTCTTGCAACTTCTGATTAAACCCAGACGGGGGTTCCAAAACAGGCAATAGATATGAAAGGGTGATTTGGGACAGGAAAAGAAAAATAAAAAATACAGGTTTTTCCCATTGGGGAACCATTAGAGAATATAAATCTAACAATTTGGGTGATGGAGGCATCAGAGGACCAGTGTGATAAATACAGATTGGAGTATTATTGTGACTTAATGGAGATGACAGAATATTCTTATTACTGTGTGATTCTTCATTGCAGCCTCTACTATTTAGCTGGTGAGTTTAATAGGTTTTATGAAAATCTACTGTGAGAGAGACCTAGAAAAATTTTATATTACAGCCAATAATAACCCAATAAAAGTATCACATCATAAAATAGAGAAATGGTTATGATAGGGACATGATCAGATAATCTAAAGTGTCTTTTTTGTTGAGCAAGGAGCATAGCATAAGGAAGATGCTTTCATGGGGTGAGGATTCCTGGTTTGGGGGCCAAAAGAAAGCGGTCCAGTTTCAACTGCATCACCAACCAGGTCAATGACCCTAAGTAAGTCCTCTAACCTTTACAGACCTCAGTTTTCTTTTTCTTTCTTTCTTTCTTTCTTTCTTTCTTTCTTTCTTTCTTTCTTTCTTTCTTTCTTTCTTTCTTTCTTTCTTTCTCTTTCTTTCTTTCTTTCTTTCTTTCTTTCTTTCTCTTACTTGGAAAATAATGGAGGTAAGGATTTTCTTGCAAGTTTTAAATTCTATGGTTTTCTAAAGAACCATCGTTGTTTTAAGTATTCAGTACTCTCTGGAGGCAAGAAAAAGAAAAATGAGACTTCCTCTAATGCTGACTGTCCTCAAGACAGTCTCCAAGAAGCAGGAGCCATGCCCTCACACAGTGCACTGTGTCACGCGCCCCTACTCACCTCTGCAGAGATGGCTGTTGCTTCTCTGTTCCTCTTCTTTCCTCTTGGGAACCGTAAGTGAAAGAAGTACACAAGTGCAATGTCCGTAGATCCATTTGACCCAAGGAATTCATTTTAGAGATGAGGAAAGTCAAGGCCATAAAGGTTGAGGTCACCTACTTAGTTAACTGGTAAAGCTAGAATTTAAGCGGAGGTCTCCCTATTTCCAAACCAGTGCCTATTCTGCCATGGCACACTGCTGCAGAGTCTAAGGAATTTTATATTCTGCAAAGAAGTGGGGTTTCTTGTGAGCATTCAATACAATTTAAGACTTCTTGTAATTGGAAACAGGAACATAGGATAGGGCAGTAGCTTTGAATTCTGACTTCCTGGATTTGAATAATATGCCTCCACCTTACTAACAATGTGAATTTCAGGCAGGTCTTTAAACTCTGTAAGTCTCATTCTGTTTGGTTTTCATTTTTTCTCTTGGATAATAGAAATAATAGCAGTATTTACCACAGAGAGGTGTATAGAGATTACATAAAGTTACATAAATAAATGGTGACCATAGTTCTGGTATATAGTAAATGTTAGCTGTTATTAGTATGATCATAATTTTTTTTTTTTTTTTTGAGACGGAGTCTCGCTCTGTAGCCCAGGCTGGAGTGCAGTGGTGCGATCTTGGCTCATGGCAAGCTTCACCTCTCAGGTTCACACCATTCTCCTGCCTCAGCCTCCCAAGTGGTTGGGACTACAGGTGTCCGCCACCATACCCGGCTAATTTTTTGCATTTTTAGTGAAGGCAGGGTTTCACCGTGTTAGCCAGGATGGTCTCGATCTCCTGACCTCATGATCTGCCCACCTTGGCCTTTCAAAGTGCTGAGATTACAGGTGTGAGCCACCTCGCCCAGCCATCTTCTCCTTTATTTACATAATGATGAGTGAAAAAATCCTGAAAGGAACCCAGGAGAAATAGGTTAAATAGGTTCAAAGTCTGTCTGTGCTCCTATTGGCTCCATGACCTCAGTTTACTCATCAGCAAAATGGGAATTCAAAATCTCTTCTTGTACAGGACTTTAGTAAAAATCAAATGAATCATGCATATGACCATATTTTTTAAACAGGTAGAGCCCTATAACAATACAAGTGTTGATAGTTTTATCAAAATGTAATTATCCCTAGGTTGGAAAGCCTCTGGATGCTCAGAGTTGGTTAATAAATAATAAAACGAGATAATGCCCCTGCTTTGCTTCTCAAATAAATCAACTTAAAAAATAGATATCTAAAATACCATTAAATCATAAAATAAATGCATGTCCCCAAGTATCACTGCCATCTATTGAATTCAATTCTACTGTTCTCTACTTAAACTTGCAGTTCTCTTAGAATTAGATCTTACCAGAGCATCAGAGGACTATTAGGTCACAGGGTTTACAACAGTAAACTCACTCTCTTCTTTGCCTTCCAAGTAAGGGAGAGAAAGACCTAAAAGTTAAAACACACACACACACACACACACACACACACACAAACATTTTATGAAATGTTAAATGATGACCTCCAAGAAGCCTTCATACCTCTCGAAAATATTGCCAACCTTTGCTATTGACCAGCTGCTTATTGTGCATAAACTTAAAAATATATTCATTATTGAGATATAATTTTGTTTAAGCTAAAGAAGCATCAGGGGATGGGGAATTGTTTTGTACGTGGGATTAGTAAAGAGTTGGGGCCTAAAAGTGTATGTCTATTTTAAAAAGAAATTTTCTGATTGCAGATAACTTCTCAATTTGATTTAGTGTCGAACGATAGTGATGGGGTTGATAAGTGAGCATTCATCGGTAATTCATCTTGTGCTGGTAGAAATTTACAGCAAAGCAGTGCTTTCCCAACAGTGACAAGCCCTATTAATCTTCTTCAGACACATTTCAATAGGTGTTCCCATCTGTGGCCAACATCTAAACACTCTGGCAACACTGGCGACTTGAAGACACCTTCATTTCAAGTTACACTAGTGAAAATGTGATACTAGATTGTACTCTATTTTTTAACCTAATTCTCTCTCTTCATTCAATTAGCCTTTCTTGCCTGGATTTTTCTGCTCATGTGTAACGTCATTTTCCAGGGAGAGCACTCAAAGATTTGGTTTCTTAGAGATGCACAATCTCCCCCAAGGTTAGCAACCAACAACATTTTTTACAAATTAAAATTGCATAGATTCCAGTTCTGACAGTCGTTGGCCTCTGATCATGCATTTCCTTAGAAAGTAGAACCTGTTCAAATAAAGCCCGCCTGTGCATCGAGAAGACTGAGGAAAAGGGGAAGGCTCTAGAATCCATTTGTGTTCATATTCAAAATGCACTTTATTATTCTGAACTATGATGTAAATTTCAGTGTGAGGGAATGCTGGGAAAAGGAGAGACAATTTGAAGAGGGTGGTGAAAAAGAAGCCCATAATTCAAAATATGTTTGCCTAATATATTCAGTCCATAGGATGAAATCTCTCTCCTGTCCTTTTGCATCATTGGAGGACCTCCTGTTAGAGCAGGAAATAAAATAATCACTTTAGTAATAGATTATTTCACTTAAATTGCCTTTATTCTACCAGCAACATGCTCTGGCTGTCTGCAAGTTCAGACTAGGTGAAAAATGGGGAGGGGTTGTTTGATTTTGGATTGCACCTAAGTGCTTTTTTTGTGCCATTTTCAACCTCATAATGGGCTTGGTCTTGCAAAAAAATTGGATTTGAACAGCATTTTTCCTGTGCACTTTAGAAATCTTTCAAAAGAGAAAATTCTCTGACACATTCTTATTTAGGAAAGGTTAGATACATCTGCATAATGGATGGACTTTTTTTTAACTTCACTGAACTTTTTTGTCATATGTGATCTGAATATATGTGTGTGTGTGTGTGTATACACACACACATATGTTGGGGAGAGTGTGTACACATGCACGTGTGCCCCTATGTGTTACTGGTTTGTATGTGAATATACTTACATATAATAATATCAGCATTCTCAAAAAATGTCTCCCTCCTTCACACAAACTATTTTTCACAATGATCATTTGAGTTTGTTGTAGAGCTCAGTAACCTTATTGTAGGTGGCAAGTTTAAATGTGCCATATTAATAACTTGTTATCCAAGACAAATTAAGTTCTTATGTGTCAAAAGCACTCGGCACTGGATTATCTACAAGACAAGTATTTATTGAATAAATGTTGAGTCCAATTTCATTTTAATGTGACTGACTGTATGTTTCAGCCTCTTAGGCAGAGATAAAAAACACTCAGACCTATAACTGTGTTGCAACATTACACCTAACTTGTCTATTTCTATTATTGTGTCTTAACTTAGAATATGGAAAGAAGGCTTTTTTTTTTTTTTTTTTTTTTTTTGGTTGTTGTTGTTCTGAAGAGCAAAGAGAAAGATAGAAAAACGGCTGGCATTCAGCCTAAAGAGAAATCATTGAAACAAATTAATCCTATGCTGTTTAAATTGACATGGTAATCCATCATCAGAGAAGGCAAACTCTGAAAGCAATCTAGAATCTGCCCTGCTCTTTCACTGGCCCTGGAGGCACAAAGACAGATAGTAAAGGAAGGAGGGGGGAAATCATAAAAGTTAGGAATGCCTGAGAAAATAATAAAATTGGTGGTATCAGCTCTCACTGTCCTGCCTCTGCAAACCTCCTTTGGAAAGGAGAGGTTAACTCTCAACAGTTGCTTTCCCAACTTTCCCCCTAAGTGGTAGGTCTCTGGAGCTGAGCTCTAAAAGTCTGCCTCCTTCTCTAGGCTGCCAGGCTGCTCACCTCATTCTAACCATTGCCTGCCGCGTTTAAAAAGTTGACCAGACAGGAGCTTGGCAGGACCCACAGAAACGGTTCAGTTTGCGCAGAAACTTTCCCAACGTGGTAAGGGGCTTCATTTATGGGGTTTAGGATTTGGGTGTCTTTTTATTTTGTTTTGTTGTTGTTTGGGGTCTTTTGGTGGGAGAGAGAGTGAGAGGGAGACTTTTTCTTCATTTTTTTCTTCCTATCTTATTTTGTACTTGATGAAAAAGCATGTTATTGTAGTTTTTAAAAGAAAACTTTTGTAATATCCCTAACAACTTAGGAAAGACATCATGCTCTGTCACTTGTCTGTCTTTTATTTTGGAGGCTTATTTTTCAAATCTCTCTACAATTCAAAAATCCTGCAATGTTAAAATTTGCTTTTAAATTCAAAAAGTATATGAAACTGTAAAAGTGAAGTGTCCCATCTTAGTAGATAGTTAAGATTTTTAAAATAAAAGAAATTAAAACTTATTAAGAGCTCCATTGTTCAAACACACTGAATCCTAAGAATTGTTTTTTCTCTTGGGCTTAGTTTATGTGATGTTTATGTGTTTTGTTTTTTAGGGGAGGAGACATTTTACAGAACATACCTTTCTCATTACTGCCTGGACATACCAACTTGAACACAAAAGTGAATATTATGCTTTTCAATTTAACAATGCATTTGACTTTAAGGCGAGACAATTTGAAAATATTTTTAACTTCAAAAATTCACTCTGTTAACAATAGACAGTATGTGAAGACAAAAACCCAAATACCTTTGTACCAAAAGCAAAAGGCAGAAGGATATGAATGTAAACCTTAACCAACAGCTGCCCTATTTTAATTTATCTAGGATAGTGTTTCTTCTAGTTTATTTAAAAAAACTTAGTGTGTTACTGAAACTTCAGAATAAACATCGCACCTCTTTTCTATAATTAGAATTTTTATTCACTGATTTTAAAAAGGGAGTGAATAATTCTTGTATACTGACTAATGCTTTTTAAAATACATACTCATAAAAGACAAATTAAAGGTATTTCCAGGGTAAATGCGAAAGGAGGGTTAAAGACTCATATTAAATATTCATTCATTCACAGCCATGCCAGTTGCAATTTTAAGAGTTGTTAGGAAAGAAGAACAGGTTTAGTTGTTTGTTTTTAATAGAACCTAGGGGGTTGAAGTAGTAGCTCTTCAATAACTGAACATTCAAATTGCACTTCCTGAAAAAGATTTGATACTTCTGAATTTGTTTTCAATTTATATACAATGTAGACTTTAGCAAAATATTATCTAATTTTAAAAGCCATTAAATTAACCAAAATCACATGTAAGAAAAATAAATTAGTAAATAAACATCAGTCTTTATCACTCAGAGGAGGCTAAGAAGAAAAGTACCTTTAAAATCCCCACTACTTAAATATCACAATACTACCATCTTTTTAATTACTTGGTAATGTGGCAACAAAGTATATGCAAAGAAATTGCAACATATCTTTAGAAGTAAATAAGTTATTAACATACATTCTACAAAGAAATGGGCTTCCCCAATTTTGCTAACTTCTCCCTGATGTGATGTGACGTGGTCCTGCCAAGAAATAACCAATGTGACATTTTCACTAAATTCAATATTCCCTTCCTTTAAGGTTCTCAGTTTTGCTTTAAACTATTTGAAGCGACTTCCTCTCAATCAATTTACCTCAGGCAAGTACATAGAAATCTCCTAGATAAGGTTGATTAATTTATTATGAATTATAATAGATGGATAGGAAAAATATCTTTATCTACCTTGTATTCAAACTAAAAAGAAAAGTATAAATTTTATTCAAACAATACACTTTGTAAACTCTCAAGCTAATACTTCCTATGGTCAAGAAGCTGAATATGATGTTAAACTGCCTTCTCTTAATTTTACACAGAAGTTCTTTATTTTTAACATTCACCTTCAACTTTTCCAGAAATCAGCCTTTTAAGAGGAGAAATGAGGTTGTAACTAGCTTGTGCATGTTTCCCTATTATGACACTATGTCTGTCTCTGTCCACCTACTTCTTTATATTGAAACTGTCCCCCCCCCAAAAAAAACCTTATGAAAAACAATAGAATGGAAATCACTCCTTAAACTATTTTTCTCCAACTACAATTCACCTTGAGTTTGTGTTTTAAGAAAATTTAATTAAATCCCTTTTGTTGTTCTGCTTGTATTTTCTTTAAGTACTACTGATGCAGCTAATTAACCATATTAATTTATCTGGGTATTTGCCTTACTAACACCTTCACATTTAAATGACTGGCACTTGATACCATTTGATTAATGCTTTTTCTTGACATACCAAAAATTAACTGCCATTTAGAAGATTTCATTACCAGGCTCTTGAGAAAGAGAAAAATGTAGAACCAGACAATAATTCCTCACTCTGTCCACTGCTAAGTATGAACTGATGTCCACATGGCTTTAGATGCCTTTGGAACTTTCTCAGCATGAGTTGCCTTACAATATAATATTGGTATTAAAGGCATGTATAGCCACATCACACTTGATTAAATGGGCAGAGAGCCCCCTTATGCCATCATCTCTAGCTATAGCCGATTCTCCTTTAATTCTTCAATCCATTGAAAAGTAAAATAGACCGAGTAGCATATCCCTGAATTTTTAAATATTTAGGCAAAAGATGCTTACCTTTTATTTAAATGCCCTGCCAAAGCTACCAAACTGCAAAATTGATGATTTTACTTTGAAGTGTCTTTCTGTGATTTTGCAAACCACAAAGGCTCTACCATAGCTAAGTTGCTTCAGCTTGTATTTCAACAATGGTGATTCTAAGGAGCTCATTCAAAACTCTTTTTTGCACTGCCTTCTGCCTTTTTGCCAGTACACATGAGTGACAGCTTCTATCTAGTGCTTGAGTATATGAACCTTTAATCCATCAAGGAACTTCTAACACCATAAGAATATACACACCCACGTGCATACACCTTCATGCATGTAACTATCATACAACTACCCATTAGAATGCCACCAGGTTTGAAACCAGCAGAATATATTTTTCTAATCTCATCCAGATTCTATGGCTGTAATTTGGCTACTGACAAGATTCTAACATTAGCTTTTATTTAAATGAAATAAACCATGTATTTTTTTTTTTTTTTTTTAGTTTTTTTTAGTTTTTAAAACTCCCTGCACAGCAATCTACTGTTGTATACATGGTTAGAAATATTTTTTAAATGGACTAGGCGGTCAGTTAAATACAAGAAAATATTTCACTATATTATATTTTCTTATTCCCTAAAGTCCATCTCCATGGAGTGTGCTGCGGGTGATGGATGAGACTGTTGTCTCTCTGAATGGAAACCTGCTTTCATAGGAAGGGTGGAGGTGGGAGAGGACCAGTGAAGGGCAGAGCTCTAAAATTCTGGCAACTCCAGTGAATATACCCTTTCCTCCTTTCTTCCTTCTTCCTTCACTCCCTCCCTCCCTCGCTTCCTTTTTGCTATGTCTCCTTTTGGTAGATTAGTGTAGTTAACCTTCGTTCCGGCCAAGATCAAGAAGGGTTAATGGAGACCCGGCTCCTGACACCCTCCAGGTCAGCTTGGCTTGCGAACTTCCAACGCAGGAGTTAGAGGATTACCGAGGAAGGAATTCGAGGTACCCGATAGCCTCACACCTGAACACGGTCGCTTCAATCCACTGGGATTCATTTAAAAAAATAAATAAATTATCTTCTGGAAAATGGTTAATTGGATCTGCAGCTATATTTCCTGTTGCACCGAAGAGCCAAGCGGGCAGCCTGGATTGGATCCCTGAAGCTGCCAAGAAAATCGAGTAATTGGAGGGTGGTGTGGGGGTGAACCTTTCTAAATAAATAAACAAACGTAGGTCGCTATCAGTTGCTTTAGGGAGCGCAGATATTTAGGAAAAGGCCAGGAGCGGGAAAAGGAAGAAGAAACGAAAAAGATTCTCCCCTTTTCTTACCTTTCGCCCCTCCTCTCCCCTCCCGAAATTTGCTCCTACTAGATTATTTCCAGCTGTTTCGAACCTCAAGGTTTGTTCACAGTAGCGAGCGAGACTTGCGCTTGGAGAAGTGAAAAGCCATTTTCGCGCCAGGACTTCGCTGCTTGAGTTTGGGGGTTTTGCTCTCCCTCCCAGCAAACTCCCCTCAAAGCCTTGCTAACTTCAACAAGCCCTGCCAGCCTTTACTCCTTGGCCACTTGGGTTCGCAGTACCCAGCCAAAGGCCCCGGATGGGTTTCCATCGCTGGGGGTGGCCTGATACCCCCAAAGCTGAGTTCCCGCCTAGCAGAGGACGCAGACGTCCTGGGGCTTCCTGGGGGTCTGTCACCCTGCCCCCTGCCTTCCTCCTCGGCCTCAGATGTCGTCCCACCTGCCCACGAGCAGGGAACCTGGAATCCACTCTCCCGGCAGTCCCCAGCGGGTTCTGCCACCCGGCGGCCGCCCCTGACACCAAGTGGGTGGGAGGAAGAGGCAGCTGGAGGGGATGGGCCATTGAGATCTCTTGAAAAATATTAAAAGACAGGATGGGGTAGAGATTTCTCCGGGAGAAAGTTCGAGGGTGCATCGGGTCGCGGCTGGGAGGAGTACCCGAAAGGCCAGAAGGAGAAACGCAACCCATGTAGGCCACACCTTTAATCCCCAGGCTGTCTGGAGAGACTGCGTGTGGGGGACTTCCCGGGGTTCCCACACCACGCCTGCAATCCACTCCCGCGGCCCCCTGGCCACTGCCACTCGCGGCGAGAAGCCAGTGGCTCCCAAACCCTCGGCCCCGCGGCGGCCCGCGCAACCTTCACCCGGCGCCGGCACCACGAAGCCTGGCCGCAGCGGACTCCCTGCAGCTCGCTGCGCCCTCGCGTCTCCCGTCGAGTAGGGAGGGACTGAGGCCTGAGCCGGGGAGCTCCCTGGTGGTGGTCGGGCCGCCCCCCTTGAGGCCTGCTCCCCCCTCTCAGCCTCACCAAATCCCTGAAAGCCCAGTCCCCCTTCGTCACCCCGGGGGCTTCTAATCACTCGGTATCGATTTCCCTAACTCTTTTCATCCTGTTGAAGACACATCTTAAAACACTCCAGCCCGGAGTGTGCTCTGGGCTTTATCCACACTAATAAAATGATTTACCCTTCTCTCCGCGCTCTCCTCACAGAGGAAAATCGTTCGAGCCCCGGCTATTTGTGTGTGATCAGTAAATATTTAGTGCGGTGACATCCTCAGCTAGGCTTTGGATCGATTCGGGGCCCACCGGGAGGTGCGCACGGTCCGGGCGGGGCCGCGCCGAGCTCGCCGAGGGGGCACCTCCCGCCCTCGCCACCGGCCGCTGATTTACGGCCCCTGCAACCAGCGGAGGGGGGCGAAAGCGCGCCTGGAAAATTGGCTTTTCAACCTTTTACTTTTGACATTCAGCCACTTCCCCAGGCTCTAATTCTCGCCCCCACTCCTCCCTCCCGCCCTACTAAGGGGTGCCCTGTGCGCCCTGCGAGCCCTGCCAGCGGCAACGCGCGGCGCTCGCGCCCCCCGGCCCTGGGACCACCTATCACAGCCCTGAGCCGCGACGCGCGGAGGCCCCGGCCCCTGCTATGGGGGTCGCCTCCTTAGAGGAGAGATGCTCTCCGCCCGCCCACACCTCTGAGGGAGGAGAGGGGGTGGAGAAGCCCAGAGCTGCATCAGCTGGACGACAAGCCGCTCTCCCTGCTACCCTTTCTCCGACCCCTCGGCCTTTCCCCTACTCTAGAGACTGATCCTCGACGTCCATCGGGCCGGATGGCGTCGGGTGGGAACGTTACTTTCCTCCCAGAAAAACTCCCCTTTCCTTAGACGAGAAAAAACTCCTAGCTTGGAGGTGTTAGGTGGAGGCCTCCTGCCCTGATATTGGCTGTGAGAGGGCTGCGGCAGTGACACTGTCGGTGTCCCTTGGCCCTCCTGGCCTTCCCCGGGCGCAGACGATTTCATTAGTGCAGGGTCACACCCTGGACCTGGGACATCGTGCAGTAGGCTCGACCTGGAGTAGGGCACTGCAGGGTCCCGCTGCGTCCTATGGACCCGCTACCTAGGTCTGCTACGTTGCCCGAGTAAGATGTGAGGAATCCCGATCCTCGGACTCCACTACTCTTGGGCCGGGGCTTCGGGCCTGAAAGTCTCCCGCAATGTCGCCCACCTGTTAGCGAGCTTGTTCCCTTCTCACCTGGGGCCCGGGCCTTTGCAATTCTCCTGGGGCCCAAGGAGGAAGGGGCATGACCTTGCTGAGTCTAGGCACCTCTCCAAAATGCTAGCGCCCTCTCCTTTGTCCTACACATGATTTTCTAAACAACCTTATCTGCAGACTATATCTTTATACTAATGCATACTTAATTGGTCCGTCTTGACTGTCCATATAAAACAATTTAATTAGGGTGCTTTCTTGCTTTGGAGAGCAAAGGAAAAAAAAACAACAACAACAACAACAAAAAAAACCCCTGCCCAGTGCTTATTGTATTTAGCACCAATACAGGCAGAAAATGTAGCACAAGTTTTTGGTTGAAAGAGCACCTCTGTGCCCATTGAAGGGCGTTGATCCGAAAAGACAGAAAGGACAAGTAAAATCGATTTGAAGCGACCCTCTCTGTCCCTTTCACACCATTCAGAAACTCCATTCCTTCTAAGACAAAGACCAGCGCCTTGGGAATTCTCAGGGAAAAAGAGGACTCTAGTCCCACAAGCCTAGGGCATTTTTTTAAAAAATCTTCAATATTTCACTGAAAACCCACACTTGATGCTGTGCCCCCCAAGTGTGGGTTCCACAGATGTCCCCTCCAAAGTGCCAAGTTGCAAGGCTGACAAACCCCCTCTCCCCTGCCTGTTTGGCCTTGTGGCCAGGCCAGGACAGCCTTTTAGGGTTAATGTAGCCCTCACCTTTGACCTCCGAGATCGGAGTGGCTGCCAGCACTACAACTCTGGCCAAAGTTAAAAGAAAACCACAACAAAAAATGTTTTCTGCTTCCAAACCCAGGGAAACCAGTTCTGGTTCAGCCGCCTGAGCCACCTTACCCAATAGCAACCACCATCCCTAACTTTTTTTTTTCCTTCTTTTGCAAAGAACTGCCTGAGCCATCTCTGAAGGAGGGAATTTAAGTTGTCAGGGCTCCATGGCTGAGTTGTGGATGGGGTGACCTTCTTGGTCCAACTGGTCCTCCATTAGGAACCCCCGAATGCCAGGTTATCCCACTGGTGCCCGAGGTGGGGAAGGCAGTCATCGATCAGAACTGGCAGGAAAGGGAGAAGGGAGAGGAGTGAGATGGGCAGGGAGGGGAGGGAAAAGGCCAGGCTGTGATCACCTTCACCTGCCCTGAGCTCGGCCTTCCTGTTCAACTATTCCTCGACCTTCTGCTGGGGATGAAGGGGGCGGGGGCGAAAGGGAGGGGGCACCCCCCAGTTACACAAGTGGCCTCCTTCTACTAAGAGAATGAGTTCACCTCCTCCCCAGAGGAGCCTCACCATCCATCCACTCAGTATAACTGATGAGACAAACCGCAAGGAAAAACTTCTGTAGCCCATATTTATGGTATTAATGAATAGTTAAAAAAGATTTACACTTCTTATGATCAATATTCTGAGTTATTTTGCTCAAAGTATATAATTACAGTGTCTTCAGAGTTTTCATCATTGTTTGAGGTGGCAAAACCATTTGTAATTTTCATTAGCCAGTAAACATGTAATTAACATTCAGCACTGTGTTTAACTTAATTCCTGTTTAAGACAAGGACAAGAAGCAGCCGAAGAGCGTTAGTTCCATTTGTCAAGTCTGACATACATCTTACCATAACAGTTTCCTAAAATAAAAGATCCGTGTTTCCCCATTATTCTTCTCTTAAAACAAAACAAAACAGAAATCCATTAGTTAAAACTGTATTAAACTGTGAGAGGCAGCATAGTTTATATTCAATTTTCACTAGTTACCGTATTCCTGCTTCCTTTATTCGTTTTGGGGAGTAGAGAAAGGGAGGGGGTGAATCAAGCATTCATTATCTGAAGGCATGGAATGGGGAACCCCTCCCCCCAAAAGAAATAGATTTCCTTCTCAGGAAAGTTCTAGAATGAGGACTGGAAAGGGGGGAGGCAGAAATCCACAGGGGAGAGGGTGAAAAAAATCACTTGGGGAGACTTGAGTTAAAAGTAGAAAATGAGGATTCCAACGGATTCCTAGGAAAAATGTTGCCCTCCTGTCTCAAGTTCTATCTTTGATCCAGGATGAGGGAAGCCTGTCTGCCAGTCTGCGAGGCTGATGCTTTTTCACCCTCCTCTTCCACCTCTGTTTTTTCCCAACTTGCTTTAGGATTAGCCTCCATCCCTCTCGACCCCAAACAGTGGAATTTGGCTGTGCCTTGGGTCGTCTTGCTTTGCAATATCGCCTATAGTTGTTGGCGATTTTCTGCTGAGGCTGAGCCGTTTGCTCCAGCCTCCGACTAAACTCATTAAGTTGGGAGATTTTTTTCAATTGGACGGGTGTTTTTAAAGTCTCGTCTTTCCAGCCCCAAACAAGGTGTAACAACGCACTCTTCCTTCTAAGGAATGAGATGAGAGACAAGGATCACTCCAGACATCTCCTACCTACGGTTTGGGGTTTTTTTTCTTAAAGGCGAGGCTTGCATTCCTCAGCAGCTATGTACAAAGCTCCCTGAAACCTTGTCTCTCTAAAGTTAGTGTGCAGGGTTTTCCAAGGCTGAGAGAGCCTAATACATGGGGAAGCACTTCCT